ATTAGCCAGTCCACCGGTTTTGCCCACTTTGACCCCGAAAATTACATGACGCTGAGATCTGATACATCACCGTACGGAGTCAGAGCCACCATGTTACAACCTGACGCGAACGGAGTAAACAAACCAGTTGCATTTGCCTCCCTATCGCAGACCGAAGGAAATTACGCCAAAATTGGCAAGGAGGCTTTGACATTCGCATTTGGTGTTGTGCGAATTCATCAATATCTATACGGGCAGATTTGAAATACACACAGACCACAAGTCATTACTGGGAATTCTGGGTGAATCAAAAGCTATACCCCAAATGATCGCCCCGAATACTTTGCTGCGCTCTACTACTCGCTGGATATCAGTATCAATTAAAATATCTTCACGGAAAGGAGAGTCATTGCGCGGATGCTCTCAGCCTATCTTCATTATGGCAGGTTCCGCGCCACATACCAGCTTTGGGAGAATTGGTACAAGTAATATCTTGGTTGGATGATTCGCCGGTGACAGCAACGGAAATAAAATCGGAAACGAGGAGTGACCCGGAAATGTCGAAGGTACATGATTATATTCTAACTGGTTGGCCAGAACGGGTAGATGAAAGTCTAAGAGCATTTCACACTCGAAGAGATGAATTAAGCCTCGAGGACGGTTGTATACTCTGGGGCTCGTTAGTCGTCGTCTCCAAACGGCCTCGTCAAACAATCCTGCTTGAACTTCATATGGGTCACCAAGGAAATTCAAAGATGACGTCACTAGCACGTAACTACATCAGTTGGCCTGGAGTCGATCAAGAAATAGTAAAACTCATACAATTGTGTGCTGCCCGTCAAGAAAATAAATCATCACTACAACCTGTGCCAATGTCTCCATGGCAATGGCCCTCGCGCCCGTGGGACAAAATACACATTGACTTCTGTGGACCTATCGACGGCTCCATGGTTCTGGTTGTAATGGACGCACATTCCAAATGGATCGAAGCTCGGGCAGCCACATCTATGATTGGGTCGACCACTGTGCACATCTTACATGGCATACCATGGCGTACATGGCGTACCATGTACGGTTGTTTCAGATAACGGCCCGACATTTACCAGCAACAATTTGGCCCATTCCTACGTCACAATGGAATCGAGCATGTTCTCTCGGCATTATATCACCCTTCGTCCAATGGTCTGGCAGAGAGAGCGGTTGCGACAATCAAACTGGGTGTGGCCAAACAGCAGTCCGGAACTTTACAAACCCGCCTGAATAAATTCCTATTGCAGTAGCGCATTACACCACACAGTATCACGCATCCTCCACCGTGTGACCTTCTGATGGGACGACATCTGCGCACCCGGTTGGATCTGATTAAATCCAAGCTGTATCGAACGGTTGGTAAACACCAATCTGTGATGAAGCAACGCTACGACATGAAAACGAAGGTTCGGCGGGCTGAGGCAGGCTGAGGTCAACGGCTAGAACTTGTACCTGAGTGATTACGAGATCGACAAGAGTTAGTGCAGTGGAAGTGGAATTGGAAGATGGGCGAATACTTCAACGATACTTGGACCAAGTGCTACGACAGCCTGTGAGTCCTGAAGAGAAACAAGCAAATTGCCCGTCATCTGCACCCCTGAGAATAACGCCAGAAACACTGCCAAATGAAGAACACACTCAGCAACCTATAAAGCCGTGGCGATCACTTCGTGAGAAGCGCAGCGTAGAACACTATCAAGCTGGATACGCTTAATCTAGCGCTGGAGGACCGTTGTGATTGGTTATCATGAGCCACGGTCCGCCTGGCCATACATGTGACTCATGCACGTAAACAAATATCCATGTTCTCAAGCGAATCAGTGACTTGCTCGTGTATGCACCTTACAGCGGTGTCCTTTGCGTTTCCGTGTTCTTATTTACAATAGAAAGGAACACGTGGTACCTTCGCAAAACCCTCTACTCCATGAGGTTGTTCATGCTAGTTTCCACCCATCAGGTAGTGAGATAGCAGAAGTGCGACCTACTCGTTGAACGTAGAGCTTACCGGTTTGCACGGCAAGCCCTCCTGTGGGAAACATTTTCTCAGTGGTCAATGGCCCATATCTCGTTCGTTAGAAGCAGTCGTTGCTTGATTTCTCAACAACACGCCATCACAGTATGTATTGAGATTTGCATTAAGGCAGATCTTGGTTGGTTTGGTCTACTGGACAATGTCTGAAACAGAGCGTGAGTGATGCGCTCCTCGTAAGAACAGGTAAACTAACGTGCTAGTGGTACACGAGTTGAATCATTTGTTGGAAATATCACTGTCCGTTTGACAGTCTAAAGTCGCTCAAGTTAAGGTTGAACTTGAGAGCACCTAGGCCAGTTAAGTTGACACCTACGAAGGCATTTCCGCATCTCATATGGCTATCGAGCTCTCTGTTTGGGCTGCAGCATTAGAAAATGTACATTGTAATCAGGAGTGTAGTTTTTGGACGTTTTGGTGGAGGTAACGTTGATATATACAGGTGCTTGACTGCCTTCCATAATCCTGCTGCCACTCCTTCTCAGCCGCTTATGATTCACAGCAGACGTTTTGCAAACCCAAGATTGCAAACGTACTCTAAACGACGATGGAAAAATCCTGATTATCCGTCGCATCACTGGATCGATCAGTTGTATCCAATGTCACCCTGCGGTTTACTTTATGTATCAACTTTAAACATAGTATGGTGCAACTTAGACTACCTGCGAACACTAGCAAACTGGTCTGCTAGGTAACATCATGTACGCGAAAAACATTAGTGAACCACTTGCGACTCCGGACCCGCGATTCAGGAAAGGGACTGGCATACGGATTTCAACCGCTGAGAGGACATTAGAGGAAAGGTCTTGGCTTCTGTTCAATTTTCTAAATCGCTAGAGACTCCATTGCCGCGTAACCCAGTATTCTGTCAATGTGTTTCTAATGATCATAGACTCAGAATGCAAATCAGCAATGCAAGTAATCATGAGCACACCAGTACCACTGCATACCTGCATCAAGGCTCGGTGCATCCTTGTAGTGCCTCCAGTTCTGCCCAGTATCGAAGCGAAAGGCTGATTTAGATGAATTGAGTTTTGCGTACTTGTGATATACAAATGTTTGAGTAGAACAACATGTTGATAAGGCAAGTAACAAAGGTCTAAGACATTCTTAATAAATTTCCTTCTACTCTTCTCCAGGTACAGTGTTGTCATCATTATTGGCATACACTATAGACAAAAGGAAGTACAGAGATCACAATTTGCTCACGGTAAATGGTGTTAATTCCCTTGCCGATGGAAAAAAGCGAATGAGAAATATTTTACCTCCCTAATTTATACGGACTGATACATTGCGCGCTCTACCGATCTTTTAACACCGATGAAAAGTCACTAGTTGTACCTATATTCGAAGAGACACTAGAAGTGCGTTATGCATCATCTAACTCATCGATCTTTGTGGAGTAGCCTATGTTGTCTACCTTTTGTGGAGGTTCGTTTTCTGTCAATAGATTACTTGCTGTCTGTTACACAGTCCCCAGTTGACAAGGAATTAGTAGGGGAATTTAAATGGTATAAGATGAAGTCCATCATATCAGACATCAAACGCCCAGAAAACTACTATGCTGTCGTTCTATGCTTTCGGGATTCGTCAGCAGTGCATATTTCATACGACCCCTAGGGGGCTACAATCTGCAAACCGGCTGTTAACACTCTATGATTAAGACCACTGGGATACGGGGGACGGTAACAATCAAAGTGACTAAGTTAATAAATATGAAACGGAGCCGCTCCATATTCACTGACTTGAACGGTACTTTAGTGTAAAGGACAGGTTTAAACCCACACAGGGACCACCCGGGCCAGATAGAATGTGCACTGCTGACGATTCCCGAAGGGAGGAACCGGCATTACAGCACTTTTCTGGGCTTGGAATGGATGTCTGACTACGTCCAGATGTAATTAACTTCTACTTAATCACCAGTTTATTGACGGGGAGTAGCTTCATGTGCCGCATCTAGACTTCCTATACAGCCTTATACAAAATAAAAAAACGGCATTTTCGGAAGTTCGCCAATGTGTATAGTAGCTGGATGGAATCCTAACCACTTGATAGGCCATGCTGATCATCTCGTAAGCAAGCGATTACTGGCACGGTAGGCCTGAGAACGGTAGAACTAGGAACCAAGTAAGGTTGGGCCAAATCAACTAATACTAATACTAATAATACTAATACTAATAATGTGTCAGCCGTGCGACCACCACCAGTATCACACGGGCTGAGTATACCGTGAGAGCGCCCACCCCTATAAGGATTCGAACCCGCCCCACAACATTACGAAACAAGCTCGTATTTAGTCTCAGCAAGTGTGGCACAATTTTGACTAGACGTGAGTGAAGTTTGAGTTCTGTGTGGCTGTTGTCTAGATTTTGAAGGTGCATGTGACCACTCTTAATAATTTTTATGCTTCCATCAGATGTTAGATGGTGCACATTAGCAAAGCTGTAATTCACTAATGATTCATTGGCTGACTGCGCATTTAAGATACAGATAGTATAATGGCTACTTTATGCGCGGTTCAAATGGAACTCCGTGGTCGCAAACAATGCGGTGTAGATCTGCTACTCTTTTTGAGCAATGTCCGATTTTTGAGTCCCTCCATAACACAGATAAATAAGTGCTATTCCTGAAGAATTTTTCGGCCCATATAATAAATTTTGTCTCAACGGCTAAACATGGATCAAGTTCTAGGGGGAAGGCGAACAAGGTCATCTTACCTCGTATCTGTTGTGTCTACGGTGTCTTGAATTTGTCTGATTGGGCCCGCATAATTGGTGTAATTGTATTGCTAAATTAGTGTTATGTGAAAGCTTTATTGGAGTGGCATATTGTTCTCAGCAATATGATGTGCACAGTGGGGATGTGTAACAAGAATTTGAATACAACATGAGTGCCTTTGATACACTGCAATAATTAATTTTCGCTAAAACATGTGTGCTTATTTGTCTTTTACCCGTGATAGGGCCTTGTGTGGACGAACAGTATGTCATGGACTCAAAAATGGCAGTTCAACCAAATTCAGGCAGTATTTCGAACGCAGAACCAGTCTATACAAAATTCCAGTCGCCTCAGATCCCATATACTTCGGCGACTAATTACATATGCGACTTTCCACTTCGTCAGCATACAGTATCTTCAGGTTTACATCCCCCATCATGGGCCAATGCGTACAGCCATTTAAGACCGATGGAAGATCACCCACGCCAAGTGGATTCAAAGGAGGCACCATGTTTCCCTGAGACGTTGTGGAACCGGATCCAGTCCCCTCTCGGGATGGCGCCTTGTGACATGGGCTATTCTTCACACATCGCTAACTGGTGGACAGCTGCGGCCATGGGAGGATACCCGGATAGTCCACTTAAAGATATGGCTGATAATTTGTTTGAATTGCCAAGCACGAGAACTGACTCGAGCGATATAGTTTTTGCGCTGAATGATGCACAACGGCCCAGTTTACCAAGAATCGACCCATGGTCTACCGAAAGCACGGACGCAAATTGTAAACATTCACCTTACATCACAAACGGGCCAGAAATGCCCAAAGGCCCATTGCTCGGTAGAATCAAGACACTGGGGTCTGGAGGCGCACGCGGTACCAGCGCTTTGACTTCGTTGGCCAACTCCAAGGGAAACAAGAAGCTGCGTAAACCGCGAACTATTTATTCCAGCATGCAACTACAGCAACTAGCAAAGCGATTTCATCTGACGCAATATCTCAGCTTACCAGAACGAGCGGAGCTTGCTGCTTCGCTGGGACTAACGCAGACGCAGGTAATTATTAGTGATTTACCAATAGTTCAGCAACATCAAAACTGTACACGGAAGTGAATACTGAAGCTGTGTATACCCATACGTTGGAAGGTCTGGCAAAAATGTTGAATCCTGGAGCTTAGTAAAGGGAAGCTAAAGAAGCAGGCTTCACTGCCTCCTACTTGCTCATACATGAATGACTTAAGATTCCAGTTGTTCTGTGCGAGCAAACGAATAATGTTTTTCCCGGCTTAGATGAACGGACGGTTACTTAAATAATAGGCTTACACTTGCGAAATAGTCTTAAGTTAGCTAACTACATGCACACAAATAAAAGTGAAAAACCCACGCTCTTAGTAGGTTAACTTATTCCTCTACAGGTGCGTATTCTGATGGTTGGTTATAAAAGGGTCATCTATTTTCATTACTGTTCATTTTGATCTGTACCCACAGGTGAAACTTTATCTTTACCGGGACCCCTGTGGTTGAGACCTTACGATGTTTGCGCTTGATGGAATTCCCAGTTAGGTCATTCATATTTTCAGTTTGGCGACGAAGGGTGGTGAGTGAAGTGCGCTCAAGTCGTTCAGTGGAAGCCCGACTGCAATACTGGCCGAATGCTGCCAGGCCAGCGGATCATGTTGGCAGTTCCTGATCAGGCCAATCAGGCCGTGTGGACTGTCTGTGGCCTACAAAGCGTCTGCAGCTATTCGCAAAACACTGATGACTAGTTTGGGAATAGAAAAGCAACGGATGCAGCCAAACGTACTGACGAATGATCAGTGAGTATAACCACTGGGTTCTGAGAAGTTGGCCTATGCATTCAAGCTTGAGTCGTCAATCTCACAACTGACTGATAACAATATGGGTAACAAATAACCATCGAGTGTGAACGTAATAGTTGAGCATTTCAAATGTAGCCCTAAGAGGGATATTGTAGTTTTACCAGCTCCGTTATCTGAGCGGACAGCCACGTGAATTCTAGCCTAAAGTAATCCGAATTATGAAATTGGCCCGGTTAAGTAGAGTGCTGAAAGATCGGAGGAACTTACTAAGTTAAGCAAATGACGTAACCACCCTGAGTAACGCCTGGCCACTGAAGCAAACTGTCGAACTGTAGCGATTTTCATTAAAACTGTCACTGAAATGTGTGGTCATAGTTTCAATATATTACTGGACCCATCACGAGAGCACTACTGGCATCTTGCGGAAGCGGAAACAGGATTGTCAAAATTCTTCGGGATTTTGTTCAGTGAGTGTGGTATTAAATTGTTATTTAGGTAATGTATACTGTATGGATAGACAGTCACAGCCTGCGACAGGATCATAGGATTCTTGACAGAATACGGAACGTATACCGTAATCACAAAATGTACTACCTACGTCATCGAGAAATGCAACATATTATGAAGGCTTCGCGGCAAAATTGTATTGAAGACAAGTACTAGCTTACAAATCGCAGAGCGAATTTGATAAGCACAAAGAATTTCTTATACGCTTGCACTGTTAGAAAACATTCTAGTAGTCAAACCCATACACTGCTCCGCACTGGTTCGCCAACTGCCATTTCGTATTAGCGGAAAAGCTCTAACGGACCAGCTTATCAATGTGGCCTGTTGCAGCTTTCGCATTTTGATCCAATACGGAACTAGTTCAATGTTGTGTCAGTATAACCTGTACGTGTCCACACATCGTAGAGCAAAAGCAGAGCAACAGCGATTGGTACTAATTTCTAATCGGGGTTAGCCTTAGTGTTGATATTTTGCACCTTGCTTACGTGTCCGTAAAGTGCGCGTTTGGTTACCGGCCCACGCGTTTTCATTTACCACCGAATCTCAGAGGAGCTACACGGGCGTCCTTGCTAAGGCAAAACGCAAGCCTCTTGAGTATGCCAGAATGCGAAGGTTGATAAGAAATAGAGATTCTGCAAACAGCATGTGGTATGTGAAATAGAATAAAACTGGGATACTAATGATTTGAGCCTGTCGATGAACGTAAGCTTCATCTAGTTCGTCACTATTGCCAACTGGAAACTGAGCATTAGAGTTCAAATATTCCCAGAGTTTGTTCGCCATAGCGCAAAACACCGATTCTTTCGATTGTATCCAACCTAAGTCAAGTGAAACCGCCTGAGGGAGTTGGATAGGTGAGAAATGCTGAGGAAGGGGTGTGCGTCGCAAATATTCACGCTTGAACTCCACAGACACCTCGAACAGATTTTCCCCAAAGTTCCGGAGAAAAAGCAGTGAAGCAAAGAAGTAGTTCGCTCTTATGAAACCTGCTGTGAAAACCTTGCTGACAGTGGAGAACGTTACTCCAGCATTGACTGAAAGCAGTCCTACACTGACATCCCCAGAAGTTCCAGTTATTTGCACCCGAATGAATGTGGGTGTGGGCAAAGAAAAAAACTTTTGTTAAACCTTTTCACTCTGCTTGCCTCCAGCGTTTTATTTAATTTTTGTCTCAAAAGATCGTGTGGCCTAAAGCATAAAATTGAACTCAATGGATGCAATCAAGAATAGATCTTAACAAAGCAACTAAGTGGAGCATTCCTCCGTTCTGATCCGAGGATCAAGCGCTTATATTTGATTTAGCCAGCAGACTTTAGAAAAAAAGCGTAGAATAGCAAAAAAGCAATCAAAAAGCAACTGGTGTGAATTCCATGCGCCCGGGGCAAATAGGCAGGTATTGGCTTCTTTCCAAACTCTGAGAGTCCATCTCGTCCTTTCGGAATCCACCAACAGCGCGCAGTAGCTCAGTCCTATGAGAATTTTAAGACCGCGACCATATGTTTACACACAGAGTTATGTTTACGGGTCGCTGCGGATGTTACCATTTAAAGCAACGTTTGCATTTCAGGAATCCGGAAAATGTGAAATAGTCGCGCACTGTTATTCTGAGCATACGTAATTTTTTGATGGAGATACTAGTACGTTTTAATTGAATCTAGGCAGTTCTCCGTTTTAACTGCTTAGTACATTTGACGGCTAGCGTTTAAGAAACAGTCACTCGAGGAGGATGCCATCGACTGCACAACTAATCGCTTTTAAGTAGTAAGGGTTTATTGTGTTTTTGTGTCGTTCGTCGCAATTAAGCTCAGGCTGGAAGCCACCATAATTCCAGGAAAGCGCTAGACGGCCTATTCTTCCTATTAGGACTCGTCAGTAGCACGCACTCACCGAATCCTGCCGGCAGCCCTCTGCCGTCGCCCACGGCATAGCGGCGTAAGTCACTGACTCGCAATAGTAAGGTCGTGGGTTCGAATCCGGCGGGATTAAGCGGTGTGCACTACTGACGAGTCCCAGTAGAATGAAACGCCCATCTAGCGCGTTGCTGGATGTCTGGTGGCTGTCTGTTTGAGTGTAACTGCGACGAATCTACACAAAAGCTAGTTGCTTATACATAACATGTTCTCCGCAAACTTTTGTGCTCATCTTGCAGACATTGCGTCCTGTTATTCCATGAAATGGTTAGGTGCGTCAGTGATACAAGCCGAAAGGAGAAACTACCGCTCAGTGCTTTTCCATGACATAAAGGTTTTATTAACCTAACTCCATTTCGCTACTTTGTCGGCGAGGTGATTGTATTGGACGCTCAAGTCCAAAGTAGCGACCGTAAACTGGTGAACCGCACTGATACTTCACAGCCAAGCGACCACCGGCTTTGGATACCACGAGGCAACTGGCAATTTCGCAGAACCAGACCGGTGACCTTCGACGTACAATGCAGAAGGCTCATCTCTGCAGTCACCAGAAAAATGGTAGCAGTGCAGTACAATTCAGCCTCAACTGCCATCACTTAGCTGCCTTCGGCTTGAGGAAGAAAACCCACGTCGTGCCTGTTTTTGCTTTTAGTTTAAGTGACCATGGAATAAGTTCCTCCAGTTCAGTAGAATTACCCACGATGATCAGATTCACCATACTTGATACGATGGTTGTAGTTTTCAGAAATGTACTATCCTCTGAACATTGTTGCAGCTCCTCAAGCAGAGTATTATTCTCAAAAGTTCCATAGTACACTCTTCCTGTTCTGGTGAACGTGTAGAATGTTATGAAGGTCGAATTATTTGAGCTGTTTTCTCAGTGCTCCATGCAAAATGTCTCATTAGTAAATTGGTGTGCGATATTGAAAAGTAAACGTCAGACATGTACATCATTGTTGGCTGCACAACATATCTGACTTACTCCACAATTCTAACACTTCCCAGTCGCGGTTGACTCCATGTAGGTGATCTAAGTGTAACAAGTTCAGGGCGACGTCGTGATACTTCGCATCACTTGTGAGAATCTTGTTTCTTACTTTGAGGTTTGGGTGCGCTTTGAGGTCACTATGAGCTCTGAAGATGCATTGACTTGGTTCTACATAGTGCCTGGAACCCTCTATTACTACAAGATGCTTCCAAAAATTTCGGCGAATGGTGTCAACAATTAAAGAAACGAGGTGCAAGCGAAATTCCTCTGCTGGTTTTCCAAGTACTCACCACAAGCTACCACACACTTTAGATATCTGTTGTAAGATTGTTGATGCAATCCTTTCTGTCGCTAAAACGTCTAAACCACTCACACACACTTTCTACTCACTGGTTCAACATCATACACTCACTCTAACATTTCATGAGTCTCCGTCGCAGTGTTGCCTAATTTGAAGCTGCACTACTAGGTAACCCGCAGCTTCATTTTCGCCCCGGTTTGCAATGACACGAGTTCATGCCCTGACTCCGCCAGCTTGGTCGCAGCGTGCACCACTGGTTCACTTCGGTGATTTACACGATAAATCGGCTTGTTAACATGTCCCTCAATGCGTATGCGCAGCCTCATCATATTAACCAGCTCAATTCTTAATGTATGGGATCATTCACCATACAATTTTCAGCCGCGCCTTGTATTCGAGCAGACCAATTGGACGATATGCAGAAGTAGTCGATCAAAGTTACCCGCATAATACGAACTATGCAGCGTAACTCCATCATGTGCCCGCTTGCAAAATTTGGGTTAAAAGTGCACGTGATGATGTAGAAGAAATGCCGCTTTTGGTAAACCATCTATTTGCTCCTCTAATATCCTTCCGGATAGCTCAGCGTATTTAATGTGAGGCAAAGGTTTTGCGCAATCATTCTATTTCTTATAAAACTAAAAAGTGGAGTCCATGTGCGGACCGCTGAACCTCACGTGAAGCACAACACACGAAACTATGTCAAAAGTCAAACACGTACTGTCGACATTGACGGTGGACGCATGGCTCCGGCGTTGCTCCATATGGGCGGTTAATTAAAGCAGTTTCAGTGTGGCAGCACTAAAATCCTGAGGATCCGTTTAGCAGCATTTAACCTCAGCAGAATCTTTTCTGTTGAACAGCAAGGTATGCAATAGCAATGAAGAAAGGTTCATCTCAAAGGTCTTCTAGTAATTCCTTCGAGTCATTGGATGATTGAATTGTCAGTTGCGTATGGTCTTAAACGCATGCGAACTGAAACACAAGATTGCAGTAGCAAATGTTGTAGTTTATCTAGGTCAGTGAACATTCATGACAACCACACGGCTCAGACAGCCGCTGCACATCCAGTAACATGATAGACTCCTGTTTAGTCCTTTTCTCAATCGTCACCACGGGGCGTTAAATGGAACAAAGAGACAATGGTAAAATATGAGTGCAAAAACTGACTCGACAGGTCCCGACTGCCATCGATCCCCAATGTTCCTCTTGTCTGAACCGTGCACTTGTAAGAGTAAGGTCAGGGTTTTCACCTCGACGGAGGACGGATGGAATTCGTAATATTGGTGATTCCTGAGGGAAAAATACCATCCAATCTCTGTTTGGACCTTTAGTAGCCGTCTGAGTGCGGTGTCGAAGAATTTCTTTAAAATATTTGATCCGGATTCAAGTTTCCATACTCTCTACGAATTGGTCAAACATCAGGAGCTGGGATTTCAACTCCGCTAGCAAAAGGTAAACGTCTGTAGACTATTCACAATGATCGTGCTGCTCTATGAATGCGCACTGAACGATACCTACGGATATCTACAAAACAAAATGAATATATTTTGGAATTGAAATCATGGTAATATTTTGTTTCAATTGAGGATTAGGATGGAATGAGAATTTTTCGTAAAGTACTAGAGGTACACGGTTTCTTGGTATTCAAGGAGAGACCTGAATAACAGTAATAAGAATAAGAATAATAAAAACAGTGCACACAGGAGTGGGCAATCCCTTTGTGGACGCGGTTTCTCAGTCGCAGGATAAATATACCATTATTATTATTATTATTATTATTATTATTATTATTATTATTATTATTATTATTATTAACATTTGGCGGTGCGTCCACTGCGGCTAAGATTGGATAAATGACCTGTAAACACTGGGTAACTAACGGAACGACTCCTTTCTTATGTCTTGCAAGCTACCTGTTTCGTGAACCATGCTGTAACTTAAGCGACATGTATCATTAACGATTCAGTACATCATGAGCAGCTTGAGCTAGCGAGTCAGTCGGTAGTCAAGAATCAATTAGGCAACTGATGGAGCTAGTTTGGCGATTAACTGGTTGGTCGCCTGTGCAGTAGCCGTGTTCATCCTTTTCACTTTCTGGGTTGCAATTTGGGCTCGCGAAGCCAAAGCAGGCGCGACAGACTGATAAAACTGGTGTACGAAAACTTGGTCGATGCAGCCCAGCTTTGTCGTTTATAAATCATAACTTGTTGTAACCTATAGTATGCTGCTTAAAACATTGCAGTGGACGGGCATCGCTTACGGCAAACAAACCAATACAATATAAGCGGGCACCTGCATTTTGCCATTTGATTGCTGTGCCACTCTTTTTTCGATAAATGTGACATCGTTGGGTCTCAGGCGCGCTCCACGGTTGGGGGGGGGGGGGGGGGTGGAGTACACCTATGACATACTCCCTGGCGTGCACTATCCGCAGCCCGAAAGTGAGACTAACACCACCGTCTGATTAGTTTTCATTGGTTATAGCATTTGCTGTAAAACAAGATATGGATGCTTGTTCCAAAAATGTTTTTTACTGTGTTGTTTGCGCCTTTTCAGGTAAAAATTTGGTTCCAGAATCGGAGGTCGAAGTTCAAAAAGTTGATAAATCAAGGGCACGATGTGGTCACATTGGCGAACGCCATGGCATGCAAGCCTCAAACCGATGCGCTTGGAAAGCACATTGAGGTGAGTATTTTTGGGGATGTATTGGAGTGCATGTCACATTGTAAATGCAATTCCCCACATGATCATGCTTAAGTTAATACTTTCGATAACTTTCAGGGCTTATTTAGATCACAAAAGGTGCATAAGTCGTGTTTATATAGCCACATGCAACTCGGGATGCGCATAGATAGGCAGTCCTAACCGGTGATAATCGTTGAATGTTTTCATTCGTAACTACCTACTTAACAATTTATGCAACGACGTTTAGTGGCTAACCTCAGAGAGAAGTAAATCTGTCGTTCGCACAAGATGACACGAAATGGTTTTATAATTGATAACCGCAACGACAAACTAGTGAATTGCACTCTGAAAACTTTATACCCAAACGGTTAGACACACTGTGACTACAGGGTATTGGACTGCATGTTCGGTGAGCGGTTGAGACAACTTCGGAAACAGTTGTCAACAGCAAGCGACTGATTTGATGACCATGGATTCTGATTGTGTAATTCAGCTCTGGTCGGTTTGTACATGGTGTGAGCCAATTGACCAGAGAGCTTTCGGAACCTTTGTCAACTGTTCGCTATCACAGCGGGGAGTTAGTGGCAATAACTCTTCATATCCGGTCGTGACCGCGTCAAGTAAGACTGGTTGGCCACTTTGAGCAACCAGCATGAGCCTAACCTGTGCTCTGCGATGCGCTGTGTTGCTAACGAAATTCTTTTGTTTATCGAAGCATCATAAAGTGAAAAGTTCACAGTTTTTACGCACTTCTTCATATCGGCAGAAATGGCTTCTATGCATCTTGGCCAAAAACAGATGCGGTTATTGGCTTGATTCCAAGCGCAACCTTACGAGAGAAATCACTCGCTTGACGAGCAAAAGTAACCATACCGGCAATCGCTAATGGTCAAGGAGGCGGTGGACTAAGCGAGGTCTTGCTTTCTTTAGACAGAGAAAATATGTCCAACTCTTGGCTTACTGAGTACTAAGTATACAGGTTGTCTTTACTGCAAGGGTGGCTAAACAAAGGGATGCCACTGGAGTGGTGTTATGCACTCTTAACGAAGGTGACAATAGAACGAGAATGAGTGCCATGGCAGAGGGCGAAAAACTGTAGCGATTCTGTGAGCGACGGTGCTGTTTAAAATCATTTCCAGTGGGGTCAGTAGAGGGAGATTTGAATAATAACTTGTCACCAATCACACCGCATGTCAGCAAACACAGTCTTCATCGTCTAAGGCGCTACAAGTTACAGTGTTTCACAGACGAGTAAGCATATGTGGGAATCCTTTGCGATCCCTGATATGAAATATAATCATCTTTACATACAAATCGGGAACAGTTCCAGGCTGCCGAAAAAGCCATTGCCAGCTGGATCTTCTTAAGAAACCTCTAATGTAAGAAGTTGGTAGCTGCGGAGGCAAATTAGGAACCTTTAACCGTTTACTAAGGTCAACAATTGATACCCCCTAATACCCACCTGTTTCGAGCTTTAGTTAGTACTGCGTCACCAGCAGCGTCCGACGTTTGGAAGCATTCCTGTTAATGAAAACTCTGCGGCATTGAGCGGTTTACCGGTTTATACAAATTAGACTCGGAACCAGATTTCCAGATACGATTTACCATGTGTCTCTCTAGAACATTCATTTAGCTAATCTTGGTGAGTAGCTAGGACTGATACTTATATTAATGGAGTGGTATGTTTAGCAAACCGGTAGATTACTCAGCCAGTCCGACCGCCCGGAGTGACTTATAAACTCGTGAAATGTTCCTTGAGTAACACGGTATTTGATCATGAAAACCGACAATGCCGCGTGAACCGAATGTAAACGATTAACAAGAGCTGTCGAATTGTCTTATATTTTGCACCAGTGCATTGTTAACAGATTGTATTTAACCTACTTTTAAGTACTAACGGCAGTGACAGGTTTCAGCTTTGAAAGTGGAAATCAGAGCCATTTCAAAATTGTTTGTAATCTGAGTTGACATCGAACCACCAAGGATAATTAGAATGCGAGTGGTATGCAAACAAATTGGATTATAAGGAAGGATCAAACTGAATTTACATTTTTGTTGTTTTTAGGAGCTTTTTGAACAACGACTCAGCAACCCAATCCGAGATGTTGCTCAAAACGGGAAGAATGAGTCTCCATCCGGAATTGAAAATAGCAGTAGAGATAGCTCAATGTCATCAAGGAACACTGTCTCAAGTCTCAGCGCAACTTATCCCAATATCAACTGTCTTGATGTTAGCATTGAGAAAGAACAAGTCGCCGGGCCCATAGACGCAAGCCTGTTTGAGGCAGGTGTCTTGTCGTACACTCCCAAAGCTGCTTCCTGTGGCGTTTGGCCGTACGAGCGTATCAGTGGATTCATCAGCCAGGAGACATGCACACCGGAAATTTACGCTTCTACTCAAAACAGTAGCGATTCATCCCAACTTTCCACCTCTTTTATATCAAACACTAACCAAATAGCAACGGCACTTCAGAACCCTGTCAATTACACCAAACCTCCGGCCAGCCCGGGAGCAGGCGCTTTTCTGGATCCGATGAATTACGCCACTAGCAGAGAATCATGGATTATGCCATGTGCGAGTATTGAAGGAGAAATTAGCGGATTGAAACCAGACACGCAACATACACTCCGTTTTCCCTTTCCCTTGAAACTGGATTACAATTGCGACAACATTCAACGGCCCGGCGCCTGTCACAAGAACGAATTCACTTCACAAAGCTCCACACTTATTGCTCCCGAATATGACAGTCCAAACAATCGGCACTCTGCGATCCAAATATATCAAACTAAAACCAAAGGATGTCATAACGAAGTCCGTGGAAGCAGTGAGTCATTCTTCCCATTTGACCCAGTCGATTTTGTCTCCTGCGACTCGTCGGTCAGATTTCAACAACCTTCTCACACGACCCGCTTGCCCACCATTCGGTGCTATGGTAAAAGCTGCTGTACAGACCCCGAAGAAGAAATACAGTCATGTTTAACAGCTCAGACCTGCGAACTTGCTGATTCGTGGTCTGTAAATGTTACCCTACCGTCAGTCAACTGCGGTTCGATAGTCTGGCCTACTGCAGATCCAATTTACATGATGCACCAAGGTGGTGTATCTGGCAGCATCGAGAATCTTGAGGAGAGGGAACCATTCTCAGAAACATCTACGTAAACACTTTCCGCACGCAAACAAACTGTGATACTTCATGGAAATGTGATTTCTATGCATACTTATTCAACACTACGGTCGTTTGTGCCTATTTAGTAAAGGAAAAACTCTCTTCTAAAATAATTGGCTTTATTTCGCAACACAACTGACTTTTGTCGAAGACAGTAACTTCAAGACAACCCCGACAGTATGGTCTATTACACGAAAAAAAGCATACATCACGAATTGCATTTAGCTTAGCACGCTTCGCCTATTCTCAATGTTGTCTTTACTATTGAACAGGTAGCTAGGCCAAGATCCATACCCAGCATATGAAATGTAAATGTGTTTTGTAATTGCACTTTAATTTTTTTCAAACGGCATCTTGAATACGCGGGTCTTGATATGTTCACTGGTGCTGTGCCAACTGAATCCAATTGTCTGTAGTGACATCTATGTGGATTATGGGGGGACTGCGCCGTCACTGGTACTCCGGACTGGTTTTCGCGCACATATGTTCGAGACCAATAAACAAACGTGCACATAACACGCTGTTATTCCCTGGCATGTTCCCAATTCTTCGGACAATGAAACCCGCGTTCGTCAACCTAAGGGATCATTTGTTCAGTGGTAGCAAGAAGATAACGAATACATACTGGCATTCTGGAGCGGGCGACAGCATACTCGTTTCCTGTAGTCTTTCACCGTTCTGACGGTTCTGTATCTATGCTAGCCAGTAAATTTAACCTTAATTGGTACCCATACCGTTTACTGAAATCGTAACAGATGTTATCTTTCCATTTCCCCTCATCCAATATAGTGTTGTTGATTTACTGCCGCCGAGCGAACAGTATTATAATCCGTCAATCTTTGCTGGTAACCATCGTACGGCAATTTGTGTAACACGGTAGTTTGCTACTAGTTCGGCTTTCCTCCGAAAAGTTGCAATTCATATGGAGTGCTATTTGCTGAGTTCCCTGCATCCAGCATATTGGGTCAGTTGTAATTGTGATTTATCTTGTGTCGTGATTTTACTAATGGATAGGATTCTTACCTCGGCAAGTTGGATAATCCTCATTTGCTTCTTATTCTTAGATAGTCTCAAATCCACAAGTGTAATAGGTCGTTGCCCAGAGCCGTTGCATTTACCTCCATTAGAATCCATCAGTCAAGAAGTGAATTGCAAGACAACTGTTTCAATTCGCTTAGCCAACGCAGATGGTAAGTTTAAGCATTCGAGGTAAACAGTATTTGTTTTCAACCAAACCTGTTGTTAACCATATGCACCGAATTCGTGGCCAATTCAAGTAGTTGAAGCACCGATTCATGCGGATTCCATTACCCATTAATGTTATTGGAGAAAAATAGACATGAATTGATCCAGAACCACTTTCACGAAAAAAGAACCCGCAATTGTTTAACGATATTCCAACTGTTCAGCAAGTTCCTGCTCTCGGTGCTGACAAAAATAGGCTAACCAGTATAAAAGTCTCGCGGTTTCAAACACCATCTGACATATTCAAATCAGCTATAAGAATTAATGATTCTTCAGTTATCTTTGTATTACCAGAATCCCCCGCATTACCTACGCTGAATGTAAGCATGGCTGTTATGGATTTCAGGTTCACAATGAAAAATTTTACAAACCATTTACTCGTTTAGGTGTTACTCCTCCCAACATTAACACCCCATTTCCTGTTTCGTCCTCGTTTGGACTTAACAGATGGAGATTGCCTGAGCTGGAGTTGAACTAGGTGCAACATCGAAACACCTCCATTTCGGATGCGGTCCTTGTGATCCAAATGACCGGTGCCTACTTCAAAGTGAACCTAGGACTCAATAGAGATTGCGTGTGGCAACATAACCACACTGAAGCCGCATTCCAAATCCAAATTTCAAATTGTGCAGTGTTCATTTTGTTTCACGACTTTTCGGTTAGCAATACCGCTTCATTGTTTTTCGACATCACCTCAGAAGTACAGCTCCCAACACGACTTTCAACTCCTTTGGATTAATTCCTCCACATTTTCATTGTGTGGATGTTAATTTACTACAGGATTTTCCTTATATGCTTTGTTTGTACTACGCTGTATTTACTACGCCTGCAGTTTCTTACTGGTTGAACTGTATTATCGCTAACTGTGTTGTCTATTCGTGAGTCCCTTATATTAATTCGACTAAATATAGGACTGTAATATCATGACTTAATCGGCACATATTATTTCTCCAGATAGGCTGCATTTTTAGCGCCTAGAATCTTCGTTAGTCTGATGGTGTGACTATCACCGTATTTCTCATTTGTTACAACGAACTTCACAGCTTCAATTGGTAAGTGACCTTCGTTCAAAAGTTGCATGTGGCGCCGGATGTGAAATGTTCATAATACGTTTGCAACGGATGACACACTTGTGACTGAAAAGTGCATATTTGAGAGGGGAGAGACAGGCATGAGAAGAAAATATTATTTGTAGCCATAATGCCATGTATGTTTCGATGTATAGGAAGACCAGTGAACAGTACCATACGCCACAGGCAGTCTAAAGAGACGTACTGAGTGGAGATACACCACTTATCCCCATTTATTTCTGGGTGCATTACTGAACAAAAGCCACGCGATGCCGGTAGGAACAAGCCATCAGTCACCGAAATCCTTCTCATGAGAATTCCGCAGTACTCGAAAATGGTGAATTCGATAACTGCAGTTGATATCAACGGGGCCGAATTAATTTGTGTGCAGCGCAAATGTTAAGCATTGTGATCCCCTACTGGGATATCCATCTGTCCTCATGGTTGCCATACATATATATCAAATTTTCCATTTCCTTTTCGGCGGTGATTTAATCAAACTACTTAGTATTAGATTATCAGCACAGTCCCTTGCAAACTGTAGCGCAGAATACCCCCACGGAATCCAAATGTAAACATTAAGCCGGTCATCAGAGTTAAGCGCAGATAAGTGCTTACTACTTGCAACTAATCACACAAAGTAGTGTTTGTATATGTCAAAGCCAGACGTCAGCAAAGCATGGATAGGAAATGCCTAAATAAAACAAAATAGGCGGGTTCTTTGGTAAAGAGTTAGTTCAAAACCAGTGGGAGAACTTAAAAATAATAAAAGCTGTAGCAGTAGAAAGATTCTAACAGACACACATAATGTGATTGCGTGTGCACTCCAAGGAATATACGGAAATCGTTTGGCATTAGCAGAAAATAAAAAGAGAAGACAAGTGCTTCTTGCTAATTCAAGATGTAATAAATGTCATACAACCGAAAACTGCTTACCACGAAGTACATAATGGTAATCCACAAGACATTCTGTTATGCAAGTTACGAACTTTGCAGAAGACAGCGTCCGCCCCGATGGACACGATGTCCACTGACAGTAGAAGGATGTAACATTTAGAACCTGTTAGAGTGGATATTTGATGTACTCATGCAGAGGAAACCTTAATGTACTTAATTGAAAGTTCGTCGCAGCAGGTTCCAAGTCAGATTTTTCTCCAAGTGACCAGAAGGGCAATACACTGCAGTTTCAACCTGTTGGGCATCATCAGTAGTGCGCATCTGTCGGGTCCTTCAGGATTTGAACCCATGACCACTATCGGGTTGCACCGCCAGTCAGCAGGTTATGCCATTGCGCTATATCGCAGCTGGCTTGTAACTCATGACGCCCCGACACTGTCCCCCGTGGCACAGTCGCATAAGCTGCTGAATGGCGGTGCAAGTTGGTTGTGGTCATTGCGTTCGAATCCCGAAGGATCCGTTGGATGCACACTACTAGCCGTGCCCGACAGGTTCAAACTATAGTCTACTGCTCCTCCGGACATGTTGGGAACTACCTGATTTGAAAGCTGCAGCGACGAATTTCCAATTAATTACCTCACAATCCCCTAATCATGAGAACTGTGATATTTTTGTGAAGTCTCCACTCGAAGCACCAATCGAAACACTTTACCGCCCTGTGACCACTGACAGCTTGGTGTTCCCAATCATTGAGGCAACTGAGCCTTCACTCATAGTCGATTTCTTTGTGCATGTCATTCCTTTATCGTGTAGTAGGTTTACTACCGCAGAAAGCGCTGTCTAACAAACAACCGACAACACCTACCCATATGTACGTTCTGAGCTGTATTAATTAAGGGTAGTGAATTAAACATAGTATCGAACTAACCGTGTTCCTACATTAGTGTCTATAAAGCAAAATGGAAGCGTACGTAGGTGAACAGACTCGAAATGAGAAATAGTCCCGCGTTTTTACTCCAAACAGTATACGAGCAACAGTGGTAACCATCAGAACATCATTGCGAGAAATGCAAAAGAAAGAAATACTACCTCTAACTATAGAGTAGTATGAGTCAAAGAATCAAAAGTATAACTACGAATTAGAAATTCACCAGTGCGATAACGATTTGTTAAAAGGGGGGCTGTTCGCCAACTGTTGTTTCTCATATCTATTCTCGGGATATTGCATTAACAGAAAGAGTCCATGGATCACAGCATGCTTAAAGGACTTAGCTGTTCCTTAAGTTCCCCAAAAATTTCAGACAAGGAAATCAGCACTTCAGTTGGACAGGTTGAGGGGTTGATCCGATATTGACGTCCCAGGACCGACCGTTACATCCTCAGTTGGACATTTCAGGCCATAGCCTGAGCTGAGATTGGAACTTGAGGTCTAGTGGTTAATACCCGACGCGTTGGTCACCAGGTCAATGAGATCCGTGAACAACGATTGACACAGTGACTAGGAATTCAAAGTTAAGTGTTTGGAGCACTCGCTGTGTGGTTGTATTGCGACAGACAATCTCTACTGAGAAATCGGTTTTCTTTGACATAAACCTCAGGGATTCTGACCACCAAAACCGTAACCAAAACAAAAGTTCAGTTCTATGGTGATTGCATTTCGCGTTGTTACCATTCGGAGGACTTAAGACAAATATTCAGAGGAAACAGGTGCAATTCAAATAATACGCTAGGTTAACGTGACCGTTACTTCTATACTTGGTGAGTTAGCGTAACTAGCGCACTTTATTTATCACGTGATGCAAGTTAGTTGCGGAGGTGCACATGCTACTGGAAGCAATTGTTTAACGAATGGTCACACGTGAAGGGAATTTTATCCTCATTGCTGTAGCACATCGGTACAACACAGTCTACTATCTTATTA